CCCCCCCCCCCCCCCCCAATCCAATCTCTTTGCCCCCGTCGTGGCTTCAATCCTGCGCTTTTCTTTTCATCTTCGCAAAGCCTCCAATTTCTCGGTTAGCCACGAGCCGGGCTGCCCCCGTAATAGTTCCTCTGGCTCCTTCTGACCTCCCCCCCCCTCCGTCTCCCCCCCCTCCCTTCCTCCCCTCTGCAACTCCCTCCCCCTCCCCCAGCCGTAACACCAGATTTGTATGGAAGCTTGGAATCAATTTGCATGTTGAAATTGATTTTGTGGAGACCCCAGAAGAAGCGCGAATAGGAAGCCCGGCAACGAGCGAGGGAGGGAGGGAGGGAGATGAAAGCAGGCGGAGGGTGTGGGGGGGGGGGGGGGGGGGGGGGGGGGCTGCTTGTTACAAGGGGGGGGTCTGCCTCCCCCTTTCTCTCCCCCACCCTTAAATTGACTCTTCCCGGGAGATGCCCCACAGCCTTGGCCTCCTTGCCTTGCTTGGCACGGACCCCGAGGTTTACCGTTCAGACATGGTGTGTGTCAAGTCTGACAGATCCCGCCATCCTGGCATCAAGAACTGGAGGGGTGAGGGTTGTTTTTTTTTTTTTTAACACAAATCAGCAATAACTGTGTGTGTGTGTGTACATGATGGGAAACAGGGAGAGGGGAATGACAAGTGATAAAGACCAGAGACGCCCAGGACCAGATTGTACCAGTGGGCACCAAGAGAAAGAATGGGAATTGCCCCCCAAAACATCCCAGCGTTCTCAAGACAAAACTCGGATCGGAGAAATACAGACTGGTCACACAGCAGAGGGGGAAAGGAGAAAACCTTTTCGGCATCCTTTTTGCAGAGAGATCGAGCCCGACTTTACTGCAACCAACTTCCTTTAGGTAAAAGAAGCTTTGGCTTCAGTCTAATGGAGTCGAGGGTCTTTCTTTTCTAAGGGATCAGGTTGGGGCAGGACTGACAGTGCGGCTCCTCCTGAACTAATTCCGACTGAAACCTATTGGGGGGGATAAGCTAACAAGCGGGGGTTTTGCCGTCAAAATAAACTAACCACGTTCCGCAGTGAATAGACTCAGGCAAGGCTTTTCCCAACCTGCAAAAAATGTGCCGCCCAAATGCTCCCCTCCCAGCTTAGGGGTGTCCCGATCTGTCGCTCCAAAGGAATTCCCAGACGGATGCCAATGGAAACGTGAAAAGCTCGCATCGTCGAAGCAAGGAAAGTTGTTGTGGCGCCTTCAACGCCAGGCGACGTGCGGCATGGCCCAGCTTTTGAAGCCTGCCCAGAGAGGGTTACGGGGTGTAATGGCACAGCTGACCCACAGTCAGCAGACCCCAGGTGATGTGAGAGCGCCTCTCCTTGGAAAGGCATGTTTTGGGTCGTGGCAGTTTTTAGAAATTCATTCTCGGGGCGCTTCTGCTGGCAGACCTTGGTCTAGCTAAGTGGGTGGGTGTGGAGGGGTGAACATCATTTCGTTCCCAGCCCATGGCCAAGGTTGGGAGTGAGTAAGAAGACGGGGTCGTGTTTTTTTGTGACTGCTTTTGTGTGTGAGAGAGGGGGGGAGGGGTGGAGGTAGAGAGAAGGGGAGAGAGAGAGAGAGAGGGAGAGAGAAAGAG